TTCACTTCGTGAACTCGGCAACCAGGTTACCGTTTTATTTTTTGACCTCCGTTTTTTTTTTTGGCGGTAATCATAATGGTGGTCGAGTAGATCATGTTGTGCCGTTTTTTTTTTTTCTCTGGTTTTCGCGCAAGTGGGATGCACCACGTTGCGTTGAAATGGTCAAGCACCATCGAGGCAGTTACACAGTGCTTACAACGTCTCTGGAAGTAAAGCACCAGAAAAGAAATTAAGTCATACGCAGCTGTCATCCGTACGCAAGGAAGTAAGCACAAGATGCCGAACACCCTTAGCAGGATGCAGCGCACCCTTCATGCGACTCGCCGAATACCTCACGGCATTTCGCGCTTGGTGATGTGAGAGCCTGGTCCAGTGAGAATCCTGCGTGCTCCGTCCCGGCTTTGTAGGGATGCGAGGTCAATGTCTAACGACTACGGCATGCACGACTATGAGTACACCCCCCCACCCCCCTTTTTGTGTCCCGCGGGCCGCTCTTGCATGCACCACACACCACAGTGAGTACAGAAGTAGCGACGCACAGACGGCGGAAGTAGCGAGCGGTCTGCTGCTGCAGCTGTAACAGGGTGTTGGTATGGATAGATTCCTCCCATCTACCGGCGGTCCATCTCATGCCGCCAAAAAAAAAAGTCGTGCATAACCTCGTCCCTCACCGAGGGCGAGATTATCTCTCGCTTGGAGGACGTTCGATCCTATTTGTACGCGAAGGGAAGGGGCGGCAAGTACCGTGAGACGCAGTACCTTCTTTCGAAGAACGTTCATTCGTATACTCGTGAAACTCAACAGAGCCGTAGAGCCAAGCCGCGGGGGGAGGTTCAGGTAACTCTTTGCGACATGTGGAGGGAAAAGTCGTCCAAGGGTAGCCTTTGGTCTGCGCCGGGACAGTTAATACATGTACTGGTGTTCCTCGGTGCGCCGCTGAAATACGCTCGTTGTTTTTTTGTCTCACAAGAATGAGATAAATGGGAGTCTACTTGGACTTTCCTCCTTCTTCCGCTGCCGGCAATCCAGTACATTGGTTGGAAAAGTACAAACTTCTGTACTGTAGTTAGATGTTTTCAACACGTCCCCAACTGCTGTATGTCTCATTTGTAAGTATTGTACATGCGTTCGACGTCAACAAACGGTTGCCAGTCGCCTCGGCGATGCTGACTTTTCATACCACACCGTTCCATAGCAAAAGACGCGTAGTTTGAGGTGCAGCATGCCTCCATTGGCCACGGGAATGGGGAGCTATCGTCCCCTGTTAAGGACGCAACCCCGCTTTAAGGACGCTTTGTTCCATGTGCGTCCTTAAAGCGGGGTCGACTAGAGGCGCATGACAAGGAATAATAAACACCATGGCGGCGGAAATATGTAACATGGGGCCATCGAGCCATCGGCTGCTGCATCAAGTCCATCTTCGAGCGACCCACACCCGATGAGATCTTGCTTTGTACATACGCATATGCCTGGATGAGAATTGGCAACACGCTGTTCTCCTACAAAGCCTCACCACAACCGTCCTGGAAGGTCTCTCATTTACCACAAGATGTGATCTGAATGTTCGCTTACCTCAGTGCACTGGGAGCATGGGTGTTTGCCATTGCACTTGCGCTTCCTCTATACCAGTAGGGACAAGGGACGAAAATAGCAGCAGCACACAGCATCCAGCACAAGACAAGGGGGGGGAGGGAGCGGGCGCGGCGGGCGTGGAGTGTCGAAAAAGGCAGCAGCAGACAGGAATCACCATCTATAATAGAAAAACATTATGTCTGACGAGCAGTCTCCCTGCGGCCCGAGACTGCTGTAGGTGCAAGTAAAAAAAAAATCGCGCACGGCCAACTCATGTACACACATGTTCTTTGGAGTTCTGCAACGTATTGCGGGTGTCCTGGGGGGGATCTTCCCCCTTACCCGACCTCATGTGCTCGCTCTGTGCCCTGCCATGCCTACTCGTCGCCTTCAAATCCCAACCAGAGAACGAGTTTGAAGATGCCCCCCTCACAACTGCTGACCAAGATTCCTAGTCATTGGCATCCGCCTTCTGTGCCAGCGCACCAGTCCCGGTGCCGTTCCTCGCTTTGTCGGGATTGTTGCTGTTGTTGTTGTTGTTTTCTTCAAATGAAACTCGTGTCAGTTGCTAATCCCAAGATCTAGCAAAGACTCGGTCGGTGGTCACATAAATGCTAGAGACATCAGAAGATCTAAACAACACGCAATATTAGCAAGAAAGTCGTACACACTACCTACAGCACGTTTGCGTGCTCACAACGGAACTACACGCTTACACGAACAAATCGACTATTAACAGCAGCAGCATCATCCCGCGTGTCCCGCATTTAACCAATATACCAATATGAATGTTTGTCGACTACAGCTAACTGGACAGGAATGTGTCCTCCTCTCTCGAGACGTCAACCTATTTAGCCAAAACGATCACCAAAACACAGCAGAGGGTGCACAGCTCACAAGCGGCCGCAAAACCTTGCATCGCACCTACCTTCGTACACAGGTCACAAGCCTTCCTCAGCTGTTGGCCATGTGACTGTTCTTGTTCAACCAGTCGGAGCTGTTCTTCATCGCTGAGGGAGCGCTTGTTGGTGCCAGAGCTGTTGCTGCCTTCGGCATCGACGGATGTGAAGCTTCCCCTGGTACCGCCGCCACTGCTGGAGACCGAGCCCGAGTCACTCAGCATCGATCCCAGGCTATCATGGCCCGACAGCAGGCTGTGAGAATCCATGTCGCTGGTTGTGCTGCTGCTGCTGCTGCTGATTTTGCTGATGCGTCGTTGCAGCTGCGGTTGCTTCCCGATCTCGCTAAGCAGGGAGCCGCCACCGCTGTCGATTTCGTCTCGGATCATCACCATACCCTCGCCATTGGGCTGGACCATCGGCCTCCGTCGGTCGTGGTGTCAAAACCTGATCGCGGGACATTTTGGGGTTGTTATTAGGAGCCGGCTGTGGGCGGCATGCTGCTCGGCTGCCGAGAAAGTTTTCACGAGTCAAAATAAGGACGGACCTTCTCTTTCACCGGCGCTGACCTGACACACCTTCACCGAATTCACAGCAGTACGACTCTCTCTGACGTAACGATCGCGCACCACGCCGCAGGAAGATACACGACGGCCAGCAGCTGTCGCGTCGTGTGATGGTTTGGATGTTTCGATGAGGCAGACAAGGAAGAGGACAATGCACTTGCTCGTTGGGTGGACGGGCAAGGGCCCCGCAATGGGGGTTCGCCCCCAAGCTGGGTTAGAGATAAGCGCAAAGGGATAAATAAATCTCTATTTTTTAGGTATCCCTGTGGATCAGAGACAGGGTGGGGGTGGGGGTGGGGGGTCCGGTCAGCAGTCGTCAGGTCCGGACGAGACACAGATCAACAAGCGGACTGCTGTGGGAGAGCAGGTCGGTGCCACACAGGGGGGCGAGGGGGGAGAGGGGAAGCCACAAGCAAGTTGCAAGAAGATCGGCTGGGAAGGTCTCGTGTACCATTTAGTGATGCGGGCTCTAGTTCCGTCGGGTGCGGGGATGTTCCTACTAGTCAGCAAGATTAAAAAAATGTTGCCGATTTCGCCTCAATTCTGATTCAACTTCAAATGAACCTGTTATTTGGACCGTTAGGAAGGGTTTACTCGGTGCGTGTTTTTGAGGCAAACACATTTCCGGCGGTATTGTTGTTGTTGTTGTTGTTGTTGTTGTTGTTGTTGTTGTCTTCACATTAAAAACCGTTCCGATCTCGCTCTACCCAGTACCTTTATATGTCCGTACTGATACAACGCTCGACGCGGTCGATTCCCGTGGTCGCAGGCTAACTTACCCTAAAAAGGTACACTCAAATATAATGGCCCCCAGGGGTCCGCAAGTCAAAAGAAATCAACGGCAGATATTCTGGAGTCCTCCACTCCCTCTGCGCGCTATGCGAGGTAACAACTGAGACTAGGAGTCACCATCACGCGCCGGAGAGAATGAGGTACACCCCCTTGGTTCAATCTTGGTACTTCACAACGCAAGCAGAGGCAAGGCCATCTGGCACAGAAAACGAGAGAAAAAGAGAAAAAGAAAAGAAGAGAAGAAAATAGTCTAAAAGGAAACAGCAAGCAGTTACGCACGTGAGAACCTGTGCAAACGGAAGCAAGCCTGGTTAGTTCATCATTTCCTGTCGACGGCACAAAACGTGTATCCAGCGAATTTCTTCTCTCACTGTAAAGACCTCAACACGTCCCCTTCGAGTGTGGTATTATCTCGAACGGGTTATATTTCTGTGAGGCTATGTATACGTTCTAAAAACGTGTATGAGGAAAGAGAAAATGAAATAAAAAGAGCGAGGACAAAAAGGGACCAGGCCGAAAATAACAAGAAATGAGAGTCAGAAAAAAGGCACACGGTGGAGACACCACTAGACAAGCAACCACGCAAACATGGCCACCAACCAGCGATACGTTGTAATGGTACGTCATCACTAGTGGGGGATTGGTGCAATGGTGCAGCGTTGGGGGGGG